AGGCCCTGTAACCCGCCGTCTCGCCAACGCGCCGGCAGTACTATGGCAGACGATAGAGAGTGGCTGCCGCCGCGGCGGCGGCGGCGGCGGCAGCAGATCCCAGAAGCAGCCCAGCCCCGTCCCAGGCGCAGGGCATTTCTCGCGGCTTGTGCCGCTATCCGTGCTCTGGCAAGAAATCCTCGGTCGCCGCCGCCGCTACCTGCGTGGTATTTTTGGTATCTGCTGCAGCCAGGCGGGGGAGCAGCGCCGGCCTCGTTTGATGTCAGCTCTGTCACTACAGCCGACTGCAGCAATCTAGTGACCAGCGCTCCAGCAGGAGCGACAGCAGGAGCGACAGCAGCAGCAGCAGCAGCAGCAGCAGCAGCAGCAGCAACAGCACTAGGAGAAGCGCAGGCACAACCACCAACACCACCAGCAACATCGGCAGCAGCAGTAGCAGCAGCAGCAGCATCAGAATCAGCAGCCGCATCAGTGCATCCGGCAGCAGCAGCACCGTTGCCAGCTTATTCTAGAACAGCAGAGGTCGCAGCTATGATGGCAGCCTTTTTAGCAGGGGTAGCAGCAGCAGTAGCAGCAGCGATAGCAGCAGCACCACCACCAGGGGCAGCAGCAGAAGCAGCAGCAAAAGGAGCAGGAGCACCAGCAACATCGGCAGCAGCAGTAGCAGCAGCAGCAGCATCAGAATCAGCAGCCGCATCAGTGCATCCGGCAGCGGCAGCACCTTTGCCAGCTTATTCTAGAACAGCAGAGGTCGCAGCTTTGATGGCAGCCTTTTTAGCAGGGGTAGCAGCAGCAGTAGCAGAAGCAGCAATAGCAGCAGCACCACCACCAGGGGCAGCAGCAGAAGCAGCAGCAAAAGGAGCAGGAGCAATAGCAACAGCAGCAGAAGCAGCATCAGCAACAGCTGCAGCAACAGCACCAGCAGCAGCAGCATCATCATCAGTAGCATCCACAACACAGGCACAACCACCGTCACCACCAGCAACAGCAGCAGCACCACCACCACCAGCGGCAGCGGCGGCAGCAGCAGCAACAGCAACAGCACCAGGAGCACCAGCAGCAGTGACAACAACAACAACAGCAGCACTAACGATAACTCCACCCGTAGCTGCAGTGTCAGCGTCACCACGACGACAGGGAGGAGAAAATGAGAGAGACGCGGTTGTTGTGGATGGTATAGAAAAGGCAGGGGAAGAAAGGGGGCAGCAGTTGTTTCATGCTGGACTGAAGGGATGTGGAGTGGACTCCAGGTGAGTGAAGCATGTTGGCACTTAGCTTTTTCCATTGTGGTATCAAAACTTGCTGTTTGTGAGTTGAAGCTTTCTTGGGTTTAGCAATGTAAGTTGGTTCTGGCTTAAGTATGCTGCTCCTTGTTCTGCTTTGGTTTCTGCTGCATGACAGTTCTGCTGGCAAGAGACCAAGGAGGTCTCGTGGATCAGGGAAGGAGTTGAGAGGAGAAGCAGCAGCTGGGGTTGGTGGAGTGGGGGGAGTAGGTGGATTAGGGGGAGTGGGGGGAGTAAGCGGAGTTGGGGGAGTTGGGGGAGTGGGGAGAGTAAGCGGAGTTGGGGGAATGGGGGAAGTAAGCGGAGTTGGGGGAGTGGGGGGGGTAAGTGCAGTAGGGGGAGTGGGGGGAGTAAGCGGAGTTGGGGAAGTGGGGGGAGTAAGCGGAGTTGGGGAAGTGGGGGGAGTAAGCGGAGCTGGGGCAGCCGGCGGTGGTGGGTGTGGCTCAGTGGGGGGCGAGGGTGGTGGGCGTGGCTCAGAGGCCGGTGGTGCAGGTGGTGGAGGTGCGGTTGCTGCAATGGGCGCACTCTTGCCCGCCCCTCCGGCTGCTCTTGCTGCCGTTGAGGGTGTTGGAGGTGGCTCAGTGGGGGGCGAGGGTGTTGGAGGTGGCTCAGTGAGCGGCAGCGGCGTACAGGGAGCAGCAGCAGCAGCAGCAGTAGCAACAGCAGCGGCAGCAATAGCAGCAGCAGCAGCTACAACAGCAGAGGCAGAAGTGGCAGAAGTGGCAGCAGAGGCAGAAGTGGCAGAAGTGGCAGAAGTGGCAGCAGAGGCAGAAGTGGCAGAAGTGGCAGAAGTGGCAGCAGAGGCAGCAGTGGCAGCAGCAGCAGAAGAAGCAATGACACCACCAACATTGGCACTAGCAGCATCTGCAGCACCAGTTGCAGTAAGGCCAGTGCCATCACAAGCGCCAGCACTAGCACCTGCAGCGGCATCAGCAGCAGCAGCAGCGGCAGCAGCACAAGCAGCAGAAGCAGCAGCAGCGGCAGCAGCACAAGCAGCAGAAGCAGCAGCAGCAGAACCAGTACCAGCACCGGCAGCAGAAGCAGCAGCACCTGCACCAGCGCGAGCAGAAGCAACAGCAGCAGGAGCAGCACTACCAGCAGCAGCAGGGGGCAGGACACCGCCGGAGCCTGCAGTCGTCACGACGAGCAGGGGGCAGGACACCGCCGTGCAGAGGGGGGGAGGGGATGCAGCCAATAACCAAATGGCGAAGACCGTCAATCGTATGGATGCCTTTCTGGCGTCCGAAGCGGGAGCCGATGACAGGCAACGGGAATATGTCAATCGGGTCGTGAACGCGGAGGTGGCGGCCGCGGTGTCGGACGCGACGGCAGGCATAAGGGAGGAAATCAAGAGCTTGAAAGCATTCCTCAGGAACGGGATCGACGCGCAAAGAGCGGTGATGCGGCACAAATCCTCTGTCCGCCCACAGTCGCTCGTGCGACGACGGCGACTCGTAACGGCCACTCGGACCTCCGGGCTGCGTGTGCGGCCGGCCGCCGTCCGCTCCCTACCCCCCCTCCTCCAGGGTCCCAGAGCGACAAACACCCGTGCAACGAGGTGGGCCGCGGGTGGCCAATGCGCGAACGACCGTGGGACGGTGTGGGCGGAGGGGGCGGCTGTCAGCCCCCCTCCTCCCCATCATTCTCCTCCTCCTCCTCCTTCTCCTCCTTCTCCTCCTCCCCCTCCTCCTCCAGCCACCCTGCTGCCGGCACCAGGTTTGCCCCTTTTGTCCGACAACCCGGGCACGTCGGTAGGGGACTCGGCCGCAATTCGCGTGTACCAGCGGCGTCACACAGTTCCCCGTCCCACTGTACCCGCCAACGAGAACATCCCCACCGGAGGACATGCCGATTCCATTCCTATGCCGTCCCCGGGTGCCGCGTCCCCACAGGAAGAAGATCTTTCTCGGAAGCGGACGCGTGCCAGCATGGAGTCCCCACCAACGGCCCGCAAGCGCCCGCGGACGGCACGGGCGGGTGGAACGGAAGACCGTGCCGTGCGTGTGGCCGAGGAGGCAGTGGAGAGGGAGAGCACGAGGGTGGCCCGCATCCAGCAGCTGAGAGCGGCCGGCATCCAGCAGCTGGAGAGCGGAGAGTGCGCGGTAGCCACCGTTGGTGGGCAGACATGGGACCTAGGCTCGCACGAGGAGAAAGGGAACGTCGCGTACATCCTGTCGATGGCGCGGACGGTGTTCGGCGAGCCGGTCGACGACTTGCGTGGGATGATCAAAGCCAGCAGGAGGCCCGTGTGGGAAGCAGACTGGGAAAAGGCGCACTGCATCCCGCCCGGCCTGTGGGCGGTCATGCATGGACACACGCTCACGTGCAATGTGGCCAGGTGGGTTCGGGTGGTGCACAGATGGGTTTGGGGTGGTGCACAGTTGGGTTTAGGGTGGTGCACAGGTGGGTTTGGGGTGGTGCACAGGTGGGTTTGGGGTGGTGCACAGGTGGGTTTGGGGTGGTGCACAGATGGGTTTGGGGTGGTGCACAGATGGGTTTGGGGTGGTGCACAGATGGGTTCGGGGTGGTGCACAGATGGGTTTGGGGTGGTGCAGAGATGGGTTCGGGGTGGTGTACAGGTGGGTTCGGGGTGGTGTAGGTGGGTTTGGGGTGGTGCACAGGTGGGTTTGGGGTGGTGTACAGGTGGGTTCGGGGTGGTGTAGGTGGGTTTGGGGTGGTGTACAAGCGGGTTTGGGATGGTGCACAGGTGGGTTCGTGTGGTGCACAGATAGGTTCGGGGTGGTGACCAGGTGGGGTCGGGGTGGAGACCAGGTGGGTTTGGGGTGGTGCACGTCAGTACCTCATTGCCCTCTTTTCCCAGATGTATATTCGCATGCACGGCTGACGGGATGTGGAACCGTGTTTTGTCTCTTGCAGGTACCGCGCGGTTTTGAAGCGTTTCGATGCTTCGGCGGGCGACGAGGAGAGCGTGGTGTTGGGCATCTGCGCGGCCATTGGGACTGTCGCCGCCTCGTTTGAGAAGCTCGGCCGTTCAGCGCTGGCGGCATCATGCGCGGCGGTGTGGGGCATCTGGCGTGGAGACAGCACCGACTGCGCCGTGGAGCGCGCTGTTGCAGCGGCCGAAGCCGTCCGTGCAGCGCCGCCGCGGGTGAGGCTCTGCAGGCGCGTGATCGGCGCGGTGTTGGGCACTTTGGGTAGCAGATCCGGCGAGCTCCGGGGGATGGCGCTGTCCGACCCGGACGGGCACTGTGCGCGGGTGATCGAGCAAGCGCGGGGCGGCTCAGGCCTGGCGACGAGGTATGATAGACACGCCAAGGAGGTGGCGACGGTGATGATTGACACGCTCGGGCTGTGGTCGGATTGCTCCGCCGCTGCAGGTCCTTTGGTGGAGCGCGGCTTCGACGTGCCCCTCACTGCCGAGAGGAAACGCATCCGCGTAGAGTGGAGGAAACGCATCTGCGAAGCGGCAGCACCAGCACCAGCGCCAGCAGTAGCAACAGCAGCAGCATCACCAGCACCAGCAGCAGCAGCAGCAGCAGCAGCAGCAGCACCAGCAGTAGCAGCAGCACCACCACCACCACCAGCAGCAGCAACAGCAGCAGCACCACCAGCAGCAGCAGCAGGATAAGAGGGGAATGGGATGGGGACAGAGGGGGAAGAGGTGGAGGGAAGAGAGTGGAGAGTGGGAAGAGGCGAGTGGGGACTGATATGGTGAGGGTGACAATGGTGAATACAGTGGTAGAGGGTCAAGCTGGATTAGAGGCGAAAAGAGGGATAATAATAGAGGCACGAACATGGGAAGGATGAGTGAAGCAGCTGGGGGCGCCAATAGAGGCAGGAAAGTGCAGGAAAGCAGAAGCAACAGCAGCAGTAACAGCAGCAGCAGCAGCAGCACCAGCGCCAGCGCCAGCAGAAGCAACAGCAGCAGTAACAGCAGCAGCAGCAGCAGCAGCAGCAGCAGCAGCACCAGCGCCAGCAGAAGCAACAGCAGCAGCAGCAGCAGCAGCAGCAGCAGCAGCAGCAGCAGCAGCAGCAGCAGCAGCAGCAGCAGCAGCAGCAGCAGCAGCAGCAGCAGCAGCAGCAGCAGTAGCAGCAGCACCACCAGAGCAGCACTAGCAGCAGTAGCAGCAGCAGCAACAGCAGCACCACCACCACCACCACCACCAGCACCAGCAGCAGCAGCAGCAGCAGCAGCAGCAGCAGCAGCGGCAGCAGCAGCAGCAGCAGCGGCAGCACCACCACCACCAGCAGCAGCAGCACCACCACCACCAGCAGCAGCAGCAGCAGCAGCAGCAGCAGCAGCAGCAGCAGCAGCAGCAGCAGCAGCAGCAGCAGCAGCAGCAGCAGCAGCAGCAGCAGCAGCAGCAGCAGCAGCAGCAGCAGCAGCGGTACCAGCATCAACAGCGATACATGCCCCTCACTGCCGAAAGGAAACGCATCCACGAAGCGCGGATGAAGAGTCATGGTCAGGGCTCTTGCTAGGATTTTGGCCTGTCTGAAAAAAAATGTGGAAAAAAATATATCGACTGATGCAAAGACGAGCAACCTTGTGTGGTCCGAATTTCCATTAAAAAAAAAACGTGGCCCTTCGTCTGATTTTGTGGACGAAACTTAGGTAGACACTTGTCCAATTTTAGAGGAGAATTTCTTCTTCTGCTTGTAAAGGTATCAGTAGCTCGGCATCAGGAATTGGACACTGACCTTCGCTACAAATGTCAAAAACAGGGGCTAAGGCATTTCTGGCAGTCACCATTAACGTACCGATAACACATACCAAAGCAAGGCATGTTGAAGTGATGGTTAACCGAATGTGGACACTTATGTAGGTACCATACCAACAGATCCGTGGTTCAATAGACATGCAAGCTTATTACCATACATAATTTACATGTTAGGGCTCAACTAAAGTGAGTCCCTTGCAGACCACACGCGTGATTCAAATCAAATCTGATACTTGTCAATGTTTGGGACATCCGTCCTTCCACTCTCCCTCTGTCAACCTGCTCTCCCTTTCTGGCACTCGGCACGAGTGGCTTGCATACAGCAACTTGAGAAACTGAGGCAGCTTGGCTTCTGCCCTCTTGCTTGGTGCTAATCCCAGGGATGCTACTAACGCAGTGTTTACTGTAGACGGACAGCCGGCTCCACTCTCGTTAGTAATACCTCCAGTTGCAGTTGTCCCCCTGTTGCTGGTTTCACTTTTGCCACGTGGTGTGACTACAGCAGGAGTGAGTGAAGAGGGGTTATCAACGATAGCCTTCCTCCTCTGAGGGTTGCACGGTGTAGGGGATAGCAACTGCTGCAGCCAGCCAATAACACCAACACTGCTGCTGCTGCTGCTGCTGCTGGTGCTGCCAGTGGTGCCGCTGGTGCTGTCAGTGGTGCCATCACCGGGTGGTATGTGGAACGTGGAAGGCGGGGCAGTGGAGGCAGGAAGAGAGCACCAGGCGCCTGGTGTGATGCTGTCAGGCTGCCACTGCAAAAGCTCCCTGCAAGCACAGGAGGGAGGATGAGAAGAGGGAAGGGTGGGGAAACGGAAACAGGAAGATGGGTGTATAGAAGGATGGAAATAGGGAAGATGGGCGAGGGGGGATGGGGGTATGGAAGGATGGGAAGAGGTGAGATGGGGCAAGGTGAGGGAGTGTCAATGTGGTAACAACCCGCAATGAATCGTCATGAAGAGAGTCTAGAGGTATTCACTTGTCAATTCCAGAGTAGTCAACTCCAGAGTAGTCAACTCCAGAGTAGTCAACTCCAGAGTAGTCAACTCCAGAGTAGTCAACTCCAGAGTATTCAACTCCAGAGTAGTCAACTCCAGAGTAGTCAACTCCAGAGTAGTCAACTCCAGAGTAGTCAACTCCAGAGTAGTCAACTCCAGAGTAGTCAACTCCAGAGTGGTCAACTCCAGAGTAGTCAACTCCAGAGTAGTCAACTCCAGAGTAGTCAACTCCAGAGTTCTGTGGATGTACAGTACCCATTCCTTCAAATATAATGACTTGATGAAAAGAAGGATGCGTAAAGGGAAGATGGGTGAGGGAGGATGAGGGTATGGACTGATGGGAAGAATGGGGTTACGTAAGGCAGAGAATTCGAGCTCCCTGTGATGAGAGTGTATAGAGGGAGTGTAGAGATACACTTGAACTGTCTGAACTAGTCAAAACTAGAGTTCCCTGAATCTGCAGAACCTGAACTAGGCAGAGGAAGGATAGGGAGGAGCAATGGCGTAGCTCCTTGTGATGATTAGCTTGGAGAGAGTCTTGGGGTATGTACGTGGAGTGTTGACTGAAATGAGTGGGCTGACTGAGACGAGTGGGTTGACTGAGATGAGTGGGTTGACTGAGATGAGTGGGTTGACTGAGATGAGTGGGTTGACTGAGATGAGTGGGTTGACTGAGATGAGTGGGTTGACTGAGATGAGTGGGTTGACTGAGATGAGTGGGTTGACTGAGATGAGTGGGTTGACTGAGATGAGTGGGTTGACTGAGATGAGTGGGTTGACTGAGATGAATGGGTTGACTTTTATTGACCGGATTCCCGTGCTCGACTTGGTCTCGCACCTGTCGATCCTATCCAGTGTTGGCGAGTCGCGAGAAAACTTCCTGGCAAAGAGGAAGGCGCGAAAATATCACGGATGTAACAGGGTGGATGTCTTAGGCGGGGGTGGATAGGCGGAAGTCGTGAAGTACTGCCATGTCCCATCCTGCAACGTCTGCAAGGATCTCGAACATTGTGAGTCGACCCATTATATATCCACAACTCGACGGGAAGTGACTTCAGACCTTTTTTGCGTGAGAGCCCCTTCTGGATCGCCCTTATCACTGGAGGTAGACTCCTAAAACCCCTCAATTGAAGGGTATACGATTCGTCCGTTTCCTCCCTGCTCACCACCCATGTCCCTTAGGCGTGTGTCCAGCTGTATCCTCCGGTGCACCACCCCCCTGCGCAAGCAACCCCCTTGTCTCCCAGATTCGTTTCGTATGTTTCCTCTGCTAAACCAGTGTGCTCACCACCCACGTCCCTTAGGCATGTGTCCTGCCGTATCCTCTGCTGCACCGACCCCCTGCGCGACCCCCCTCTCTCCCTCCCCCCCCCCCCCTTCTGCACCCTCTCACCTCACTCCACGCCCTTCCTTGGAGCAGGCAGCGCAACACATCTGAGGCAGAGCGGGTAGAGTCAGACACATGTGCTGCACCAGACACAGAGATTGGTTTGTGGGGCTGGTTGGTTTCTACCTCCTTCGTGCTAGTTGGACCCTCCATTTGAGTCAACAGTGTTTTCATTACCACTGAAGCCAACTCCTTCCATCTTGCTCTCCCCCCACCCTACTGTTTCAGGATCAACGGGTGCTCATACAAATTGGTCCAATTGTGCAAGAACCCTGTCGCCAGTGGGCAGTTCTACCTGATTGCTAGGCCCACACTTACATTGTGTTTTTGAGGCGTCTCAAAAACACATTGTATGCACGAGGATCAACGGGTTCTCATACAAAGTGGCCAAACTGTGCAATAACCCTGTTACCACTGGGCATTTCGACCTGATTGTCAGGCCCACAGTTCGGAGCACTAAGCTATTAGGTGAACTCCAAAGAATAATAATGAACACACTTGGGGTCAAGGCAGTGGTCAACTCGTTCCTTGGGGTTAACCATCCATAGCCCTCCTTGCTTCCTTGCTGTATACATCAGCTTGCGACTACCCCAGCGTAAACTATTGCTCCACATTTTCCTTATTCCCTAGGACAGAGTTCTGAATTAGCTTCTTCACCCTACCCTATAGCAGGTCCACAGATGAAAAACCTGCGCCTTCAAATGAGGGGGGCCACATAACTATTGATGATTGTTACTCTGGATGTTTTCGATATATATTTCGACTGCCTCTTCACAAACTCTCTGGCCGTTCTCTCGAACACTCTCTGGACGAATTTCTGATTAGTTGTTTACCCTCTTCCACAGCTTGTCCGCAGGGGATAAACCTGCGCCGTTGGATGAGGTGGACAATGTAACTATCAATAATTGCTGCTCTGGATGTTTTCAACGTATATTTTGGCTGCCAGTTCACAAAGCCCCTGGCCGTTCTCTCAAACACATTCTCTGAGGTCCCTTATGCACTCCTGCATTCCGACACCCAGACCCCAGAGGTCGCTCCACATCCTCCGGCTTCACCCATCTGCGAACCAGTTTGGGCGCAATCTCATGAATTGCGTGAACATCACCACCCCATACACCGTAAACCAGTCCCTCAGACAACATCGCCACCCCACACACTGTTAACCAGTCCCTCAGACAACATCGCCACCCCACACACTGTTAACCAGTCCCTCAGACAGCATCGCCATCCCACACACTGTTAACCAGTCCCTCAGACAACATCGCCACCCCAAACACTGTTAACCAGTCCCTCAGACAACATCGCCACCCCACACACTGTTAACCAGTCCCTCAGACAACATCACCACCCCACACACTGTTAACCAGTCCCTCAGACAGCATCACCACCCCACACACTGTTAACCAGTCCCTCAGACAACATCACCACCCCACACACTGTTAACCAGTCCCTCAGACAACATCACCACCCCACACACTGTTAACCAGTCCCTCAGACAACATCACCACCCCACACACTGTTAACCAGTCCCTCAGACAACATCACCACCCCACACACTGTTAACCAGTCCCTCAGACAACATCACCACCCCACACACTGTTAACCAGTCCCTCAGACAACATCGCCACCCCACACACTGTTAACCAGTCCCTCAGACAGCATCGCCATCCCACACACTGTTAACCAGTCCCTCAGACAGCATCACCACCCCACACACTGTTAACCAGTCCCTCAGACAACATCACCACCCCACACACTGTTAACCAGTCCCTCAGACAGCATCGCCATCCCACACACTGTTAACCAGTCCCTCAGACAGCATCACCACCCCACACACTGTTAACCAGTCCCTCAGACAACATCACCACCCCACACACTGTTAACCAGTCCCTCAGACAACATCACCTACTCAATCTGCACCAACGCCTTCCCCTCTTCCTTGCCAGGTCAACAAGCATCATCTCTGTCAAAGTCCACATCACCCCGGTTGCGGTGTGTACTCCTCACTGCACTCCCCACTGCACTCCCCACTGCACTCCCCACTGCACTCCCCACTGCACTCCCCACTGCACTCCTCACTGCACTCCTCACTGCACTCCTCACTGCACTCCTCACTACCACGATACAATTCCACCACCAAGGTCCTCTCGATGTTGGCCCAACAAATCTACCACCACCAACGCGACTGTCTGCTCTTGCAGCCGTCGCGCAGAACCCCAGCAGCCCCACGCCCCCATCCTCGCAGCAAGCGTGTCTCTCTGCTCCGTGCTCACTGCTCAACCCCACTGCATCTGACTCTCTCTCTTCCTCTTCAGCTTCGTCACCCGGCTCATGATTTTGTTAAGAGAGGTGTTGCTGATGATATGTAGGCTTGTACCTTCCACTTTGTAGGGATTTCCGTTTAAAACAGATGTTAGGTCTTGTTACAATCCAAAGTGGGACTTAGCGAAGGATCGTTCAGGGTTGATCGCAGAGTGGTGTTTGCAGCGGAAGTTTGAATCTCAGGTCAGAGTGAATGTAAATGACTGAGTTGATAAAAGCATGCATACATCGGGTTTATATAAGAGTACAGAGGAATACGAAAAGACCTAGACTAGCCATGTACTATAAGGGGTACGTTCCCTTATTACAGCAATTTCAAACCGTGCGGCGCGGGAACCCGTTTTGAACCTGTTCCCGCTCTTTACACTTCAAATGTTTCTGCCTGCATCGGTCTTAATCAGACGGTTGCTGTGTCGCTTCGACTCTTCTGACTCCTCGACTTCGTACTCGGTAGAGTCGGCTCCTGCAGCGTACAGGAATGCCTTCTCATGTAATTTCATATCGTAACACTCCCCTTCATTCCTGGGCGTAGGAGGAGCTGACTCGCTTGACTACTCCGGTGAGGTCAGAGCAGTGCTTGTACTGCTGACGTGGCAGACGCTTGGTTAGTCTTGTACACTTTTTGTTTTAGCAATATTGGTCAACTTATAACAAAATCCACAGTGTAGCACAACTTGCTTCCCTCCAGCTTGGAGCTCGGAGCACAATTTCTTCTTTGAGCTTTTTTAACTGCAGTTGGCTGGAGGTGTGAGTAGCGAGGGCTAGGGAATAGTGTGCTCTGCAGGCTTTAGCTGATTCGCATTCACTCAGTGACTCGCAGAAGGCTGCTCTTGCCCCGCCTGCATGGACGGGTGTGTGGTGAGCCATCTGGTTGGTGGAGTACCGACTGCTGCCATGGACATGCATGGGCAGAGGGGACACGGAGAGGGGTGGGGATGGGTGAAGGGAGAGAGAGCTGCAAGGGATTCTGCGTTGCTAGAACAAAGGAGAAGAACAAAACAGGTGATTCTCAAGAGAAGGAATCAGAAGTGACACCGTGATGGACGTGGCTGGACAGCAAGAAGACAAGGCAGAGGAGAGGAGGAGAAGGGACAGGGCATAACAGATGGGGGTAGGTGGGGAGGCAGGTGTAAGTTGAGGGGGTTAGGGTTGGGATGGGGATGGGGAGGAAAATCACAAGGGGGAGATGATGAAGGCCAAGAGGGAGGAGGAGGAGGAAGTGGAAGGGGAGGAAGGGGGAGGGGAGGAGGAGGAGGGGGGGGGAGAGGAGGAGGAGGAGGAGGCGGAGGAGGAGGAGGAGGAGGAGGAGGAGGAGGAGGAGGAGGAGGAGGAAAAGAAGAGGAGGAGAGAGAGGAGGAGAATGCAAGGGAGGAGGAGCAAGCGAAGGGAAGGTGGGAGAGAATTTGGTACCTTTGATTGCTTTTGGTACCTTTGATTGCGTTTGTGAACACATCTTTCACACTCACATGCTAGACACACGGAGGGGTTCGGGGGGGTGATGGTCGGTCGTCCTGTTGCTCCTGCTGCCGCTGCTGCTGTCGGTCCCGCTCGTGCTGCTGCCGGTCCCGCTCTTGCTGCCGCTGGCGAAGGATGGCGAGGCATTTGGCTACATCCATGAAGGCACTGAAATAGCCTTCAAACACCAGCGGCCGAAAGTTGTGCAAACGAATGGTGCCTATATCCTGCCGCAGCACGTCCCAAAATGCATCAGCCAGCTCCTTTGTGAGCAAGTCTTTGTGCACCAGGTTCAGGTCCGACGCTGTGAGGTACTGGTACAGGTGCCAGTTGGCGCTGGGGTTTCGCACCAGAAACAGCAGCTCTCGCGACCTTGCTGCCTCTTCCTTTGAATCGGATAGCATGAGCGTAACCTGGAAATCGCTGCAATCCCGATGCAGAAAAGCTCGGATGTACTTCCCGTTATCGCCCACCAATGGGTATTGGCGGTTCTCGAGTTTTTGAGCGGGCGGCTTGAGCAGGATGTGGTGAATGCCCGTCCAGTGACGCAGCTCGAAGGACATGGTACCTGAAGCAGCGTGCAGAGAAGGAAGGGGGGGTGGGGGAGGGGAGTCGAGATGGGGAGAGGGGAGGGAGTGAGGACGACCAAGGAATCTCAGAGGACGAGGCAGCGGGGGACTCTGATGCACAGTGCAGGGAGAGTGCAACAAGGAAGGATTCCGAAGGAAGAGGGGGATAGAGGATTTAAGGGGGGGAGGGAGGTGGTTTGGGGGGGCGGAAGAGGGGGGAAAGAAGGATGGGGGGGAAGAGGGGAAGATGGGGATGGGGGTGAGGAAAGGACAGCCACGGAGTCACACGGGTGTAAGGAGAGTGAGGATGCAGCTGTGAGAGAAATAGCAGATACAGCAAGAAAGGAGTTTCTGGGGAGAAGAGGCAGCAAGACCAGAGACATTGGTGGGGACATGGCAGCAAAGGAGGTTCTGGGGAGAAGAGGCAGCAGTGCAGTGATAAGAGGCAGGGGAGGAAAGCAGAGGAGAGGAGCAGAGGGAGAGGAGGAGCAGAGGAGGAGGAGAACAAACCTTTTGCATCGGTGTGGGGTGGTTTCCTTCTAGCTTTCCACCGCTCATCCGCTGAAGTGGGTGAAATGGGAGAAGTATGAGGGAGGAAATGAGGGTGTAGGGCGCAGCGAAGTGATGGTAGGATCAACAGTGGAGGAGAAAAAGGGGAGCACGGAGAACGAGGGGAAGGCATAGAAGAGAATGAGAAGATGACGCAAAGAGGCAGGGAGGCGGTTTTTTTAGTCGAATCCAGAGTCACAGCGAGGCTCGTACCTTGTTCCACCTGCTCGTACCTAGTTCCACCTGCTCGTACCTTGTTCCACCTGCTCGTACCTTGTTCCACCTGCTTGTACCTTGTTCCACCTGCTCGTACCTTGTTCCACCTGCTCGTACCTTCTTCCACCTGGTTGTAGATATTTTCACCAGTTGCCGCGTGGACTGGTGGATTCTGTTGGACATTAGGGGAAGGCTGCAAGGAGAACGAGGTTGAGGGCAAGGGTAGGCAAGTAGGACAGAGAAAGTGGGATAGAGCAAATGGGATAGAGCAAGTGGGATAGAGCAAGTGGGACAGAGCAAGTGGGAGAGAACAAGTGGGGCTGAGCAAGTGGGGGAGAGCACGGTTGGTGAATTTCGACAGCACAGCATCTGCTCCCCTTCTTCCTGCGCCCCTTGCTTTCCCCTTTCCTGCCTTCTGTCCTTGCTAATTCCCTCATCCTCTCTTATTCCCCACACTGTTTCTCCTCCCCTTCCTCCTGCCTGCTCCCTCTTGCTCATCCCTCACGTCGCGCAGTTGCCATCCCTAAAAAAAAATATTGAGGTTGTGGGTGGAATTTCGACTATTGAGGCGCCTCAAAACGCGAGAGGCTGACCTGGTTCTTCCTGAAGTTCGTTCTATACGTGTCTTGATCCTCGCGCCACGTCTCTCCGGGTACCTGCGCCTGGGTTTTTCGAATACGTTCCTGATTGGCCGGAAGAGGGTGGGAAGAGGAGGAGATGGGGTGAAGTGGGGTGGCATGTTAGTGCATGTGGGATGGGTGAGCAGGCGGCACAAGAAACAACCAGGCAACAAGAAGCAAGCAAGCAATAAGCAACAAGCAGTGCAACGAGCAACAAGCAACAAGAATTGAGCAACTAGCAAAGTATGCGACTAACACATGTCAAAGAGTGGGCCAAAATGGAGCGCACCAACGCTGCCACCACAGTAGGCAGGGGAGGGGTGGCAGTGGCAGGACAGCATGCAGCAGCACAGCAGTGAAAACCACGTGCTAAGCTGCACGCACACTGGAAGCATCACAGAAATACCATGGGGGAGACTGTGCGAGTACACACCAGTAGCCCTTGGCGGAGCCCATCCAGGGAGCGACCCGCATCGCGCAATAACATGTCCTCCTCCGCTGGAGAAGCAGCCTGCTGGGCACGACGCTGTGGTGGTTGGGACATGTGCAAGGGACATGGGATCGGGACACATGCAAAGGACACGTGCAAAGCAAAAAGGGAAGCAGTCTGCTGGAAGCTGGAGACTTAGTCAGCTGGAGACTCTATGGTGATTGGGACATGTGCAGTGGGAAAGAGGGACACGGAGGGTGTCGAGAGGCAGAGGCGTCAAAATAGCGAAGTGAGCAATAGAAATTGGTGCACTGGGTGTAAACCTTCTGTGCAGATGGTGGGTTCACATGCAATAGTGCAGATGGTGGGTTCACATGCAATAGTGCAGATGGTGGGTTCACATGCAATAGTGCAAATGGTGGGTTCACATGCAATAGTGCAGATGGTGGGTTCACATGCAATAGTGCAGATGGTGGGTTCACATGCAATAGTGCAGATGGTGGGTTCACATGCAATAGTGCAGATGGTGGGTTCACATGCAATAGTGCAGATGGTGGGTTCACATGCAATAGTGCAGATGGTGGGTTCACATGCAATAGTGCAGATGCAACAACTCACAGTGAACTCGCCAACAATATCGGAGTCCGGTGGAAACGGCCTGCAGATGGAATGTGGGGGAGACGGGAGAGGCAACAACAAAGAACACGTTTTGAGGGCCGCGCATGCAAGATGCCTTGCAGGACTGGTATGGCCGGTATGGCAACAGGATGAGTAGAAACAGGATGTGCAGCAGTGAGAAACGACTACGTAGGCTGGAACATAAACTAGATAAAGGAAAGGACTGGTGTGGTGTGGCTTAGGTGCAACAACGACCCGGAAGCAGGTTGTTCTGCAAACTATGAGGTTTAGATGATTTCAGGAGGATACAAATTTGCATGCCACCACCAAGTACCCATCTCTTCTCTCTCATCTCCCTCCTCTCTCTTTCCCCCTCTCTGTCCACACACACCACTTTCCGTTCTCATCCATTCCCTTCCAAGCCTTTCAATCCTGAACTTCCCCTTCTGGCAGCTTGCCAACTCGACTCGACTTACCGGCGTGCTGTGTATTGGGTGGACGCCGACGAGCTATTCTCCAAGTAGTGCTGCCGTCTGGGCTGGCGGCCCAAGCGTGAACGCAGCAGGGGAGTATCAACGGGAGTTGTTGTTGGCCCCGTCCTCGCTTGGGCGGAGCCGACCTCTGGGTCGGGTGTGAGGAGTGCAGCTGACCTGCAACAGTGGGCGAGCTGGTCGACGGGCCTTGTTGACCTGCACAAGGGCCACTACAAGGGCGTCGACTTTGGGAGGGCGCAAACTTTGGCTGGTCGACTTGGGAGGTCGACCAGTGGAGGGCGTCGACTTGGGTGACGCCGACCAGGGGAAGCCGACTGGGTGTGGTTGGCTGACAGGTGTACTGGTCGACCTAGAGTTGGTCGACCACGTGGGTTGTCGACCTGGAGTTGGTCGACCAGGGGAGTGGTCGACATGGTGTGGTCGACATGAGATGGTCGTCGACCTGGGCGGTCGACGGGCCTGGGATGACACACCTGGTCGACATGGTTGCCTAGTCGACCAGGTTACCCAGACGACGAGGTCTGCGAGGTTCGCGACTATCGCCCAGGTAGATTGGCAAAGTCGACCTGCGGTTCGGTGGCACGTGGTCAACAGGACTCCTCAGGTGCAACCGTCGACATGTGGTCAACTTGACACCTGCGCAATGTGCGTGGCGGTGCATGTGGTCACCGTCACTTTGCACCTGCGAAATAGGTGCGCGCACATGAGCACGTGTGGTGACATGTGGTGGCCTGTTGTTGGTGTGCTGGCACGCCAGCCTTGCAGGTCGACTGAGGACACTTGAGGTCGACCAAGCTGGCATGTCACCTTCGTGCTGAGCTGGTGGTCGACTTGTATGCTAGGCTTCTGGTGTAGTCTACCTTGCCAATCTAGTTGCTACCATTGTTCTCAACTTTTGCTAGTGAAACTCTTGCGGTTTTGCCTTGTGAACGCACAAGTGCTAGAGAACGAGTAAGTGAACGAACGCAGAGATCCCTCCACCCCGTGCCTAGCCCGTAGTCTAGCTCCCGTTGACAGAGTTATCTCCGCATAAATTTTATATCGCACGACCCCTTGCGTCGAAGCACAAGACTTTGGCGAATGCCATAGCGAAAGCTAGTTGGGCATAGGAACGGCTGGAGCTATAAACAACTGGAAACAGCTGGAGCTAGGGACCCCAGACTCAGAAATGCTTGCTAGGATCCAGTGCATAGGTAGTCTTGGAACAGTCGAGCCATAACAAAAAAACCTAAGGCGGTAAAAGTGGCCAGATTTTAGGATCGCCTATGAATATCGATTTGCACAATCGTTCTTGCGAATCGAGCGGTGAAACGGTTTGCGGCCGTCGGTTTTACAATCGGCAAAGCAAACTGGGCAGGATGTTCCGCATGGTGCGCAAAAGCTCATCGCTAAACACGGCGCGCGGGCTGGCGACGGGCGATAGGGAGCTAGTGGTTAGCGGTTGTCTGGCTAGGACGGGCTGTAGGACGAACGGAGCTGGGTAGTTCGGCGGGCTAGGTTCCTAGGAACTTCCTAACGATGATACAATCTCAGAATGTAACATCGGAATGAAATGACTAGCAAGGGTTGAGATACAATTAGGCCTGTACCCTATACAGAGTACCTCAGTGTAGCTTAACATACAAATATATCATTTGACAAAAAGGTTGTGGAGACATTAACCATTAAATTTCTGTCAATTCAGGGTGACCCTATGTAATGCCCGAATGTGGGAGTTACCCCATATACTTCGCAATTGTCAGAACCTCCAAAAAAATCGACAATTTAGTTTGGTCGTTCCCATCTTCCACGCCTTTAGAAAGTAGCATAGAACCGCTTGTACTGGTACTGTAACTAGGTTGGTTGTTTGTTACTCTCAATCAGAACTTCGCGCACAGATTTTTCGTTTCGCGAGATTGTCGACCATTCCCCCAAATTATGCCATCTTTCCTACCTTCAGATAGACATTCTCTTCGCGCGCAGTCTCTGTACATCTCGACGATTACTGAGCGAAACATAGAACAAGGTTCCTTGTAACCACTAAGTGTCAGCGCAAGGCAGACTGGGGAACGTTTGTGAAGTCTTTTGCTACGCGACCAGCTCAATCGATTTCAATACAAACCTGTTACGCGCGCCAATCAAGACTACTGCCCCAACCAACCTACCGACCTTTGAAACCATGAATGTCGGCTACAGTACAATGGCTGTGATGTCCGCCTTGAAAGACTCACTGTTATGTTGGTCACCTGGTCACCGACCGTGCACCCATTCGGGGACTTCGTGATGTCCGCTAGAATGACTTTCTTTAGAGCTCTTAGCATTTCACGTAGCCCGAGTTCAGTATGCACTCATAAGCCAACAAGGTTGAACTTTAGAACTCTTGGCATTCCAGACTGCGGCTTTGAGAAACGACAGGTATCGCAATTTGTCTTGTTCAACTCTCCTTCTCTCGACCCCTGCGAACAGTCCCCAGCATGTCGTCTCACTTATTCGACGCCGTCGTCGCCCACAGCGATCCCGCCGCGCATCTCGCCCACCCCGCCTCCGCCCCACTCTCCCATCCCCGCCGGACCTCGCCGCGTGCCGTCCCGCCGCCGCGCGAGGCGCACCACCTGCTCGTCTTGGAGGGCTCGCGCTTCACGTGCGTCAGCGCGCCGCTCTCGCTCTCGCTGCGCCTCTGCTTCCAAGACCACAGCGCCAGGGGTACCGCCGCCGCTGACTGCTCGGACTACCATCAGCACGCCGAGCAGCGCGCGCAACTGCTCGCGCCGCCCTTTGACGGCGGTTCCCCTGATATCTCTCCCGAAAGGCGGGGGAACGCAGCCTTGGGCGAGTCCACGGGGATAGGCCTTGGCGCAAGGCAGGAGGCGGAGGAGGCGGAGGAAGCGGAAGAGGCGGGGGATGCGTGCTGCGAGCGGGAGGGGATGCACGTGCACGCGCACGTGCATCATGGCGACGCGATCACCGAAGACGTGCTGCTCGAACCGGTGCGTGCTGCTCGAACCAGTGCGTGCTGCTCGAACCGGTGCGTGCTGCTCGAACCGGTGCGTGCTGCTCGAACCAGTGCGCGGTCCAGCCCACCCGTGAGGGAATGACGTCGCTGCTGCCTTGCCTCGCCGTCGCCCTTGCCCTTCCCATTCCCACCTTGCACTTCCCATTCCCACCTTGCCCTTGCCATTCCCACCTTGCGCTTGCCATTCCCCCCCTGCGCTTGCCATTCCCACCTTGCCCTTCCCATTCCCACCTTGCGCTTCCCATTCCCACCTTGCGCTTGCCATTCCCACCTTGCCCTTCCCATTCCCACCTTGCCCTTCCCATTCCCACCTTGCGCTTCCCATTCCCACCTTGCGCTTCCCATTCCCACCTTGCCCTTGCCATTCCCCTCTTGCGCTTGCCATTCCCACCTTGCGCTTGCCATTCCCCAATGCGCTTGCCATTCCCCCCCTGTGCTTGCCATTCCCCGCTTGCCCTTCCCATCCCCCCCTCGTGTTTCCCATTCTCCCCTTGCGCTTGCTATTCAATGCCAAGTTTCTGCTAGCCTAGTCAACCACACTGCCCGTCCCTTCGCCTTCCCCCGTTATTGTCACACTCCACAGTGCCTGCACGAAGGTGTTCTGTCGCCCTGCCTGCGCCCCTCCCCCGCCCCCTCTCCCCGCCTCCCCTCTCTCTCCACCGCATTTGGCGGGCAGCGGGGGAATGACGCGGTGAGGAGAGAGGGGGAGGAGGTGAGGGGGTCAGTGACGGAGGGGCATGGCGGCGCAGAGGAGCAGGGCGAGGGGGGGTGGCACGTGCATGCGGAGGGGTGTGGGCATGGTCGCATAGCGCATGGCGACCACCTGGACTACCTCATGCCGCTCCTCGATGGCTCCTTCCTGCTGCACCACGCGCATCACCTGCCCCATGCGCCCCACACGCATCGCTCACCCCCCCATGTGCATGCAATGCGTGATGAGCACGGGCATGGTGATGAGCACGGGCATGGTGATGAGCACGGGCATGGTGATGAGCACGGGCATGGTGATGAGCACGGGCATGGTGATGAGCACGGGCATGGTGATGAGCACGGGCATGGTGATGAGCACGGGCGTGGTGATGAGTCCCATGTGCAGGGGGAAGCACATGATGGCCATTCTGGCGATCCTGCTAACCTCGCCACCCATACCCACGCCCATGCTCATTCCCACGCCCGCGTCCATACCCATGCCCATGCCCATCCTAGTTCAGACTCTCATCCCCATGCAGCAGCAAGGGCATATGGCCATGGCATGGCAGCAGGGCCATCCGTGAGCCATCCCGTGCAGCCCCATCCCGTGCAGCCCCATCCCGTGCAGCCCCATTCCCATGGATCCACACCGCCTTGCGCCTCCTCGCCTGCCTGTGGAAGCAGCTGCAGCGCTGCCAGCCACAGCAGCACCCCGCATGCTGCGCACTCTGCCAGCACCACTGCCCCGCACACTCACCCCGCTGAGTCGCACAGGCATGACGCACCGGCAGCCACATGCGGTTACCACGTGCACGAGCACGGGCGGCTGGTGAGGGTCGGCGCTGCCACGGGGCTGCTGAGGCGGCGCGTGGGCAAGCAGCGTGTGGAGGTGTTTGATTATGTGCGCCATGCACCCACCCCCGCCCACACACCCACGTGTGCCCGCAGCTGTGGCAGTGCGGCAGCGGGATGCTGCTCTGATGCCATCTGTGCCTACACTCGGTTGCCGTCCTGTGATGAATGTGATTATATGGAGGGCAACGAAAGAGCAGTACAGATGGGGGTGAAGCGGCGTGATGGTGGAGCGGAGGAGCAGGCAGGTCCGTGTGGGGGAGGTGCATCTGCACCTCCAGCTGCCGGCTCTGCTGCAGCTGCAGCGAGTCTGCTTGACGCTGACGTGGCACAGGTGGTGAAGAGTCAAAGGGTGCAGGCAAAGGCAGCTTCTCTGATTGGCTGTCATGCACCGATGGCAGTGATGGCAAGTGAAGAGCAGCCCCGTGGCAGTGAACAGTCCACAGGCAGTAAGCTTCATGAGAAAGACGATCATGGCGGCTGCAGTGGCAGCAGCGGCCATCACAGCAGGCACAGTCACACTCACGCTTGCATCACTAGCCATGCTGCTGCTGCTGGCAGCGCTGATGGTGTTGAAATCAGCAAGGCAGCAGTGGGAGGGGCGACGGGGTGTGGCGGGCAGGGCTGCTGCAGTCAAGCAGGGGGCACTGGGAGTGCAGGCGAGATGGTGGTGCTGGTGGGTGGGGGTGACAGGGAGGGGGACGGAGAGGAGACAGAGGTAGTGGGCGAGTGGATGGTCAGAAAGCCGTCTCGATTTGTCTGGTGGTCAACCAGTGTGTGCAAGCGAGCAGTCACTGCCATGGCCAGCGCAGCAACCAAGGCCTTCCAAGGTGCCCTGCCGCACAGCAATGCTTCCGCCCCTGCTGCTGCCCTTCCTGGTGCTGGCGGGGCAGTGGTGACGTCACGGGTGGACGTGTTGGGGCTGTGCTGCACGGCGGAGGTGGCGGTGGTGCAGCGAGTGGTGGAGGCGCTGCCAGGCGTGCTGCACATGGCCGTCTCCGTGCCCACCAGGACTGTCCTCGTGCGCCATCACACCTCCCTCACCTCCACTGCTGACATCGGTGAGTGCGTGCTGCATGGGTGCGGTGAGTGCCGAGGGTGAGTGGAAGTCGTTCTGGTCGTGACCAACAGTGAGGCAACCATGCATCCCCCACACCTCCTCTCCTGCACCTGCGACTTCCCTCTGAAGCATGCAGCCCCAACCCCTCCTCTCCTCTCCTCCCACTCCCTCCACCTCCTCCCGTCGTTTCCTCCTCTCCTGGCGTCCCACCAGTGGCGGCGCTGAACGATGCCCATTTGAATGCCAGCGAGCAGCAGAGGGGCCGAGTGCGCGTGGCGTCGTCGGTGCCGTCGCCCTTCACACTGCTGTCGGGCGGGCTGCTGCTCGTGTCCCTCTTCCACTACCTCCTCCCCCCCCTCCAGTTCGTCGCCCTCGTCTCCATCGCCGCCGGCCTGCCGCCCATTCTGCTCAGCAGCCTGGCGGCGCTGAGGAGGTTCATACTCGATATAAACACACTCATGGTCATTGCAGGTGAGCTTTTGTAACAAACAGCCATCAGGCTGTGCTTGTATTCCTGGCTTGGAGGCTCACAGGGGTCATTGGAGGCATGAGGGATTTGAGAGGCGCCTCTGTGTGTGTGGCGCATCCTATCCCTGCGAGTGTTCCTGCCTAGCGAGTGTCCATGCCTAGAAGTAAGTCCGTCGCTCCCTGCTTAGCATCCCTCCCTGCCTGAAGCCTGTCCATGCATAGAAGTTTGCGCATTTGAGTCCCTTGTGTGACACCGCACACATGCCATGCCTCCAATGCTCCTTCTCCTTTATCTCCCCCCCCCTTTCCCAATGGGCCTCTCATGGGCTGCCAGTGGCTGGCGCAATAGCCATTGGCGAGTATGTGGAGGGCGCCTCTGTCGTCTTCCTCTTCTCCCTCGCCCACTTCCTTGAAGCGCGCTCCACTGATAAGGTGGGTGGCCACTGGATAGGCGGACTGTTACCGGAATGGCACCAGATAGGGTGGCAGGATCCCTCTCTTACTCTCTCATTGCATTCCTCCCGCTACCAACCTGTTTGCTCCCAACCCAGTTTTTATCCACAGTTCCCTTTGTCCTCACGCCTGTGTTACCACCTGGCCCATGCGTCCCCTTCGCCTAATGTGTCCCCCGTGGCCCCATGCAGCCCCCCACACATCGACCACATGTCAGCAACCCCCTCTTTTGCCTCCCTCTTGCCTCCCCTGCCTGTCCCCCCCTGCCGCCCCCTCAGGCGCGGGTGGCCATCCAGGCGCTCATTGACCGCGCTCCACAGACCGCTGAACTCGCCGCCACGGGCGAGCAGGTGGGGGAGGGGGGAGGTGGGGGTCGGTGGAGGGGAGGATGTGTTGGATGGGAGAAGCAAGGTGGACGAAGGCGAAGGGCTCAGCCTCTGGGTGGTTGAGATGGGTACGGTGGTGCACAGAAGAGTGGTGGGGAATGGGGGTGATAGGGCTGGCAGCAAACAAGAGTGCTGTGCTGCAACGTGGTGCACAACAGAGCAGCACCCACACTCCACTCAAGTGCCCCCAAAAAGCCCCTCCCTCCAATGCAATCGCGTCACTGTAGTGGAGAGCAGAGCAGGCAGCGCCCCATGCACCCACCCTCACGAGTCATGCCCCTCCAATCCAACCCCACGCTGTGCCGCTCGCAGGTGGCGGTGGAGGAGGTGCCCGTGGCCACGCTGCTCGCAGTGCGCCCAGGCGCACTCGTGCCGGTGGATGGAGTGGTGCAGAGCGGTGCGAGCAGCGTGGATGAGAGCAGTCTGACAGGCGAGTCGCTGCCAGTGTTCAAGGACGTGGGCGCACCTGTGTGGGCCGGCACCATCAACACCACAGGCCCGTGCTGCTCTGCTCTGCCTCCTCACCCCCCCGAGCTAACCAACCAAGCATGCTGAAACGTCACCCCTTCTCTCTCACTCCGCCAGCCATCCAACCACACTCAACCACCACCCTTCTCTCCACCTCGGCCATGCATCTGTCACCCTGCCTCCCAATCGCGCCCTAGCACGTGCCCTCCTTTCTCGCTCTCATTTCACCATGCCATCCATGCCTCTTGCTGTCAGCCCCACCATGGCCTCTCCAATCAATTCTGCCTGCACCCATGTCATCTGCCCCACTTCCTGTCATCCTCCCACCGCCCCTCTCACCGCCTGCCCCCGCCAGGCTACTTCACCATGAGAGCCACGGCGCTGGCGTGCGACTCAGCAGTGGCGCGCATGGTGGCGCTCATCCAGGCAGCGCAGGCCAACCGCTCGCCCTCGCAGCGCCTCGTGGAGTCGTTCGCACGCGTCTACACGCCCACCGTCGTGCTCTCTGCGCTGCTGCTCGCCCTCGTGCCGCTCGCCGTGCCCTCCGCCGACCACCTCTACTTCTTCCGCCTCGCGCTGCTGCTGCTCGTCGTCGCCTGCCCGTGCGCCCTCGTGCTCTCCACGCCCGTCGCCGCGGTGTGCGGCATCGCGCGAGCAGCAAAGGACGGGGTGCTGGTGAAGGGCGGGGCGCACCTGGAGATGCTGGGGCGCGTGCGGGCGGTGGGCGTGGACAAGACGGGCACGCTCACGCATGGCCGCTTCCAAGTGGTGGGCTTTGAACTCGTGGACGGCGCTACCTGCACCAAGCACCAGTGCCTTGAGTGGTGAGCGACTCGCTGCAGACAAGAATCACTGTTTCTCTTGAACGAGTGCTGGGGTTCGTCCTAGTTGCGTTTCCAGCTGCTATCATCCCACTCGATGCCCTGCCCCTCGTATAGCCTCCCCTTTGCCGTCTCTCTTTCCTCGTTCATGAGCCTGCTTGTGGTCCCACCGTCTCCCTGCTATGCACCGTTTGTCTCTCCATGGGTGCAGGCTGGCAGGCGCGGAGAGGCAGTCCAGCCATCCCATGGCGTCCGCCCTGCTGGCCTACTGCCGCCACCACGGCGTTGAGTCCAACGGGCCGCTGCCGGCTGCTGCTGCATGCGTCCCTGTAACAGCAGCAGGCTGCGCATACCCCCATTCCACGTGCTCCCGTGCTGGTGCAGGCAGCAGCTGGGGCGACTTGGGTTGTGGAAGCAGCAGCAAGATGGGTAGAAACGGCTGTAGCACATGTAGCACACGTGCTACTGCTAATGGTGGATGCAGCAGGCCACACGTCACATGCATTGCGGCTGCTGACACATGTGGCATGCCAGATGGCGCATGTGCCATGCTGGGTGGGGCATGTGAAGACAATGGAGGGTCATGTGGAGGCAGTAGGTCACATGGCATGGTTGCAGCCAGCAAAGGGTGCTGTACGGCGTCTCATTGCCAAGACAGACAGCAAGGCACTGCTGCAGAAACCGATGCAATCTGTACCGAGGATGCGACTGAAGGGGGGGTTGGACTGGCAGCAGGAGGGACAGAGGGTGGCAGGGAGGGAGGGGGGGCAAGTGGGTTTGAGACGGTAGCGGGGGAGGGCGTGGAGGCGGTGGTGGAGGGCAGGCGTGTGCACGTGGGCAACGAGAGGATGGCGCTGCGCCTCGGGTGGGCACATGGTGAGCTCCTCGATCCTTACCCACCCATTTGCCCTCCCTCTCTTGAACAATGGCACCCAAACATGCAGAGCCCATTCATTTGCTCATCTTGTTCACATCTCTGCACGGGTCTCCCTTGGCACCATTGGGTTTGCCAGCTCTGCCATTGCGTGGCCACTGCCTGCTCTGTCACTCACATGCCTTCACACATGGCAGCTCTCCTCGCCGGTGTGTGCTCCAGCTCTCCCCACTCATGCCCCAATGCCACAGCTCCCTCCCTCTCTCCCCTCCCCACCCCCAAACCAGCCTGCCCCACCCACCCCACCCAACCATCACCCCCTCGTTATTTTCTTGCTCTGCCTCAATCTCAAAGCTACACTCACCTGCCTCCCTGTGGACGGCCATCGCAACGGGTTCACCTCTCTTCGCCCTCTCCCACCCTCCCACATCCCACCAGCCATCGCCCCCGCGCTGCTCTCCCACTGGCTCAGCCTCGGAGCCACGGTGGTGTGGCTCGGCGTGGACGGCCACCCCAAGGCAGTGATTGCCGCAGCTGACTCGCTTCGGGCCGAAGCTGCGGAGGCGGTTGGGCAGCTGGTGAGGGGACTGGGGCTGCACATGGCCATGCTGACGGGCGACAATGCGGGTGTTGCCACTGCAGTGCAGCAGCAGGTGCGAACAAGGGGGATGTTGGGTTTGAGCGGAGAACGGGGGGGAAAGAGGGAAGAGGGAAGGGGGATGTTGGGTTTTAGTCTTGGGGCTTACGGAGGAGAAACTGAGAGGCGGTTGTGGGGGTGTGGGGGGGGAGGAAGTGAGGGGAATGAAAAGGGGAGGAGGTGTATTAGAGCAGCAGACGCAAGGGTATAGCTGAGTTGGGAATCGTGTATGTAGATGAAGATGTATTGTTGGGACGCGCTGACTGGAAGAACGGAAACCGACAGCTGAACATGGAGTCTTTGGGAAGCGATTCTCCACATGTTGCTGACATGGAGTAGTGACATATGAGCCTTCCTCCAATATTTGTGTTCCCATTTTTTACTCTTAATCCAATTCCCCTCCCTTCCGTCCTCCCCTCCCCTTGCTGCTCTTCTTCCCTCCCCCCCTCCCTCTCTCCCTCACATCCACTTCATCTCGCCCTCTCTCCCTCCTTCCCTCTCTTCCGCTCCAAAACCCCTCTCCCTTGCGCCCTTCTCCCTTGTCGTCAGCTGCACCCAGCAGTGGAGGTGCTGTCTCAGCTGCTACCGGAGGGCAAGGTGGCGGCCATAGCAGCACTCAAGGCGGCCCACGGCGTCACCTGCATGGTGGGGGACGGCATCAACGACGCACCCGCCCTTGCAGCCGCTGATGTCAGCATCGCCATGGGCACCATTGCATCTGCGTCAGCCATGGAGGCCGCTGACGTGGCGCTGATGTCAGACGACCTGCGCCAGCTGGCGCGGACGTTTTTGCTAGGCCGGGCAGTGCGGTGGGTGGTGGCAGAGAACGTGGTGGCGTCGGTGGTGGTGAAGGGCGTGGTGCTGGGGCTGGCAGTGGCTGGTAGGGCGCACCTCTGGCTGGCTGTGCTGGCCGATGTGGGCACGAGCCTGGGAGTGGTGGGGAACTCTCTCAGGCTGCTGAGGAAAGGCACAGTGGATGGGTGCTGGTGGTGGGGGGGAGGATGGTGGTGACTATGGTGGTCACTGTTCAAGTCTATGCCCTATGGGTGCATGAAATTTGGTTACAAAATCGGTTGTAGCCTCTGAACTGGTGTAATTTATTGACCTTTTCTTCCCACTTTCCCCGTTGAGATGTAAACTGCTGAAATGCACTTCAAACCTACCGTCAGCCCCCGGATATAACCGCCCATGGGATTATAAAAAAACACGTTACCGTAAGCCCCCGGATATAAGCGCATGCCTCGGATGGCGCTTATAAAAGGATGACGGCGCTTATATCCGGTCCTCGGTTATAAGCCCACCCCTGAAGGCGTACGGATTATAAGCGCCACCCTCTATTTTGTTTTGCTATAATTATACTGAAATCGTTGTAACGAAACTCACATTTTCCATTCCCACATGATTGAATTTCGAAGCCCTTCACCTTGCTCGGCTCAATGCCTGCGCGTCCAGTCAGAATGAGCTGTCGGCAGCGTAAGTTGACTCATTCTGACTGTGTGTGTTGGCAGGGAATCATTCCCTGCCAACTGGCGCGAGATTCTCAATTCCAACTCTGTATAGTTTCGACCAGGGCCCTAGATATCAGACTTTGGAGTCTGATTCAGAGTCCGTTCAGACTTTTTTTTTTTACCTAGTCTGAACTCAAAGAATTTTTTTATGCACCCTGTCTGATTTTTCAGAGTTTTTTTAACTGACTAGTCTGAAATTTCAGAGTAGTCATAGTAGTGCATGCTGAGCCTCAGACTTGTATCGGGGATCCACTCTGAAACCAGTTATACAGGGGTTTCTGCCAGCCTGAATGAAAGGTTATCGGAACGAAACTTCCTCAAAACTTCTTTTCCTCCGGATGAAACTTCACTCAAGCTCGCTGCAGCAACGTTTAAGGCGCTAGAACGCCCTTCGTTTTCGTAGTTTGCCTCACTGTCACTCAAGCTCGCTGCAGCAACGTTTAAGGCGCTAGAACGCCCTTCGTTTTTGTAGTTTGCCTCACCGTCACTCAAGCTCGCTGCAGCAACGTTTAAGGCGCTAGAACGCCCTTCGTTTTCGTAGTTTGCCTCACCGTCACTCAAGCTCGCTGCAGCAACGTTTAAGGCGCTAGAACGCCCTTCGTTTTCGTAGTTTGCCTCACCGTCACTCAAGCTCGCTGCAGCAACGTTTAAGGCGCTAGAACGCCCTTCGTTTTCGTAGTTTGCCTCACCGTCACTCAAGCTCGCTGCAGCAACGTTTAAGGCGCTAGAACGCCCTTCGTTTTCGTAGTTCGCCTTGCTGCTCGCTCGAGTAAAGCAGCAGAACTCACTACTCACCGCTAAGGAGCGAAAACAGCGACCTTGCACCTTCTTTTGTACTGTAAATACGCGCCGCGACTTGCATGCATACACTAAAACTGCGAGAAACCCTACGCGCGACTACCCTGACAGTGCTACGGACGAAATTCGAATCGTGCTACTACTCTGACAGTGCTTCTCCACGTCGGCACCTCCCTTAGCTCACTCGACAGACTCACTAGCGTCCGACGCGGAGAGGAGTTCCTTCGGCGACGGCGTGGTTTTTGCTAGTAATCGAGCACTGGGGGACAGCACGACGCCTGCCTACACCTGTTTCTACCCCCAACGACGACTGGCACCTTCGCGAATTTCCCCACCCTCCCAACCTGCACCTTCCACACACGACTCCACTTCCACGTGTTTCAATTTGCGCAAGCACCAGCACGTTGCACCTTGGCAGCAGCGCGATCGGCCCCAACTACCCACGGAAACCTCTTCTGCACTGCATGATATCTCGTTGCTGCATCCGCGCTACTACCTCTCCCAAAACGCGAATTTGACACACTTGTTAAACCGCTAACTGCACAACATATGAATCTTTCTAATCCACTTCCTCACCATGGCAAACCGTAAGCGGGACAGGACGCCTGAAGACCGGGACCCACACCCCTCTCGTCCTCCTAACCGCTCGCGTTCATCCCCACCTTTTGCAACCCTACCGATTCAACAGCCACCTTTACGCCCACGTCCGTCATCCCTCCCTACTGACTCTGCCACGACACACCGTTCTTCGTCATTGCCAGAATCAGATACTCCACAACCCCCAGCCTCTTCTTCTCAACACCCTAAGTCATCAGCCCCACCACGCTTTGTTTCAGAACAACAGAAGACCGTACTTCATAAAGTCCTTACAGAAGCCTTAGCCTCCTCCTCCCAAGAGCACGCTTCTCGCCAACCTGAACCTGCAGCTGCGCAAACTTCACAACCTCCTCCTTCTGCTCCTCCTCCTGCTTCGACATCTGCTCCGCATCCTGCTGCAGCTCTTCTTCTTCTCCTTTGCCCACTTCGGTCCCGACCCCAACATATTACTGCAAAACCTGTAATCGTAACTTTGCCAGCTCGGGTGGTCTTACTCGCCACCTCTCTGCTTGTTCCCGCAACAACACAACGCGTCAGCAATCAGTCCGCCCTCCTCCTCCTCGTGCCACTACTACTCCCTCCTCCTCTACAGCACCCCCACCGATATCTCAACAGACTTGGGACGCTGTCGTAACCTGGGACTGGGGGACGTTCTTCAGTCCCACTGTCACCCCAGGCACACTGTTGCGTCGGATTCCGCCGCGAGCTCGCCTGCTGGTCTTGGATGCTTTACTCATACCACTTCGCCGCCTTGCCATCTTCCCCCAAGATCCTGCTGCTCATTTCGTCCTCCTTGCTTTCCCCCGTCTGGTGCTTCGCTCTTCCATTTCTCCTGCCTCACAATCAGCCACAGCAGCATGTGCAGCCTTTGCACGTCGTTTCATTCAAGGCGACTGGCTTTCTCTCTTCAACGAAGCTGTCGCTGCTGCCGTTCCAGCGTCTCGACCGCACAGTGTCTCATCCGCCCGGTCCACAGCCACGTTCGCCCGACTGAACCGAGCCAAACGATTCGCGCATTGCGGGGACTGGTCGCGTTCCCTTGCCGCTTTAGAAGCTGGCGAGCTTGCCCCACAGACCCCTGAAACTGTTACTGCGCTTAAGGCCAAGCACCCTCCTGCTACCGAAGAACTTCCAGACTGGCTGCCCGACTTCTCGCCTTCGGAAGTGCCTCAGCTCACCATTCCACTTCTTCATCAGGCCTTGCGTTCAACCCGACGAGGCACAGCTGCTGGCCCTTCGGGGTGGCTTATCGAGCATCTTCGCGACACCTTCCTCTCGTACCAGACTCATCTGCCGCATCTTCTCCGCCTGTTCCAGAATTGGCTGCAAGGCGACCTCCCGCAAACAGTTCGACCTTACTTCACCGCATCCAATCTTGTTGCCCTCCAGAAGCCGCATGGAGGGGTCCGCCCCATCGCCATCGGCGAGATACTGCCGCGCCTGCTGTCCCGTTGCGTTACTCTTCACTTCAAGCAGCAGATCCGGGACTTCTTCCTTCCCTCCCTACAATTTGGGGTCGCCATCTCCGCAGGGATCGAGGTTATGGCCCATGCAGTCCAGTCGGCCCTCTCCCTCCACCCAGAGTGGGTTGTGCTGGAACTGGATGTTGCCAACGCCTTCAACTCCTTCAGCCGTTCCGCTATGTTCAACGCCCTGCGAGACTCCCCGTTCTCCAGCCTCATCCCTTTCTTCCGCCTCTTCTATGCCTCCCCCTCTTCTCTCCATTACCGCAGCGGCCCATTAATCGAGACACTGCAGTCATCATCGGGTGTTCGACAGGGTGACCCATGCGGGCCATTCTTGTTCGCCCTCACCCAGCACCTAGCCATTCGCCCCATCCAGCGTCAATCTCCAGCTCTTTTCATCACCTCCTACGCAGACGACACGTACATGGTCGGTCCTGCGCATGACGTGTTTCCTGCCTACACAGCGCTTACAGCCCGTCTCAATGACCTGGGCCTGAGGGTGCAACCATCAAAATGCTCCCTCTGGGCCCCTTTGGACCTCCCTTCGGACCTCACACCTCCATCAGACATCATCATTGCCCCTAACGGTCTCACGGTTGCAGGAGTGCCTATCGGATCGGACACCCACATTATCTCCACAGTTCGAGACAAACTGCACTCTTTCTCTTCATCACTGCCTCTCCTGCATGACCTTCATGATCCACAGACTGCCTCTCGCCTCCTTACTCTCTGCATTTCCGCCCGTCCCTCATTCCTCCTCCGCACAGTTGCACCATTTCCCGAGGTAGAAGAGCTTTACACTCACTGGGACAACACCTTGCTGGACCACTTTGTTCGCCTCATCGGCTCTGACTACTGGCCTCCTGCGTTTGACCACACTGCCACAGCACACCGACAGCCATTCCTTCCCATTCGCCTTGGTGGGTTCGGCCTCCGTTCTTCAGCTGCAACTGCTTCTCTCAGTTACGTGTGCAGCTGGGCACAGACAGTTTCACTCCTCTCGTCATGCTTCACCATTCATGGCTCCCCTATTTTCCGTCCCTTCATCGCTTCAGACACCATGGACCGCCTTGACCCATGCATTCCCACAGCCATGTCCAAACTTCATCCTACCATTCGGCAGCACTTCCCTACCTGGCCCGCACTTCACGCTGGCTATCCACAGAAGCTATATTCCTACCTTTCACAGCACTTGGAGGCTGTCATGCTCGAGCGCGTGCGATCCACAGTAACCTCTCCCCAACATTTGGCCCGTTTAACCTCCCTACAAGGGCCCCATGCTGGCGATTGGCTTACTGTGGCTCCATGTTCTTCGCATATGCAGCTGTCACCTACGGAGTGGTGTATTGCAGCCGCTATTCGTCTTGGCCTCCCCATTCCACACCTCACGACCACCCGCACATGCACTTGTGGCTCGGCATTCACAGACCCTTCAGTCGTCTCTCACGTCCTCCGCTGCCCATCCTCTAACGAACCTACCAGGGTCCACGACGCCATCAAGCTTGAGGTTCATCGCATCACGTCCGAGTTTGGTTACGTCGTACAGCTGGAGGACTCCCACCTTCTTTCAGGACGTCGCCCAGACATCAGCTGCCGTGATATCAGCTCTGGGACTACGTGGGCATTAGATGTTTCAGTTGCA